GCTTGAAATAGGATCGAATTGGTACATTTAAATTTTCAGTAATATTTCAGTTCATTTTTTGGAAAATCTGTGCTGGGTGGCACAGCCAATTTCAACCCTGAGTGCCGGGCGGAAATTTGCAGTACGGGGTGTGCCGCCCGGCGCTGCCCACCGCTGCTAGAACCCTGCCCACAGAGCAATATTTCCTCCAATAGGCCCTGCACAGCAGTCAAGTTCAAGTTAAACACATACCTAAGGATGTTACACAGACTCCATCAACAATGTGTGTGTGTGCTTGCGGATACAGATGGCCAGATAATATTTGCATTTCCTTTTATGCAAACTAGTTTCAACAAACTCACAACCTGAAAAGTATACTCAAAGGTTTCGAAAAGGTAACAAGTGTCACAGTAAAAGGATTCCGACATCTTATCACGTCTACAGTCGACGCTCGGTAATATGAGCTCGGGTAAGACGGGACTCCGGTTTAGACAAGCGTATTTGTGTAAAATGTGTAATACATGTACGAGCTCGAATGTTACAAGATTTCAGTTGATTTTATTTTTTTTTTGGTGCGCTGGCCAAGTGCAAATCTATTGTTATCTCTCTATTTAGCACAAACTTTTTGACGGCAACTTGTCAATCAGCCAGTCCATTCAATTTTGAAAGGCGCTTCCGTAATTTATGCGTGTACAGTAGAACAGCGCTGCGGTTTTCTCTCACCGAATTGAGCCAGTGCTGCAAGAAAGACGAACAGTCGGCATTTGTGGTTCACGTACCCAACGTAGAAATTCTATATGGCGGCTTTCGTACCACCTGATGAACACACACGAATGCCAAAAGTGCTACAGTATTGAGGACAGTTGTGAACAACAGAAATCTGTTGTTTGATTCCCCCACCCCCCCCTAAAAAATTCCCGAAGACCAAAGTCCCGCCAGGAAACTAATAAAAAATGTGTTCTGTAACCAAACACCCAACCCAAAAACTGCCCACCCTCCGTCTAAAAATCGTTACCGGCTCCCCACCGTAACATGAAAATTTCATCCCTTCTGATTTTGACATTTTCTATAAATTCTCAATTTAAGAAAATCATGATTGAAACCATGGTTTTCAGTCCAAAAATGTAAATAATAGGAAATAACAACCACAAGTTTTAAAGAAAACAGTGTATCCCTCGCTAATAATTTTTCACCAAACCCACACGCCTTTCCAAAGTAAAATCCGATATTCGCCCTCTACTGTCCTCACCACCAATAGCTGGTTTCCCCTCATTTTTATGTGCAACAAGTGCAGCTCTGGTGTTGTTCACCAACTAAAATGTTAATATACTTACATTACATGTACTTGCGTGCATGTGGATCTCATCCCGGCGTGCGGGGCCAGGGACATGTCGCTCGAAATCCACATGACTGGTGGAAATTCCACTTCTTCCGTTGTTACATTTGTAATTATTCTTTATTACAAGTCTTTATTTATTAAACTGTATCTCACTTTCATAAACAAACTTTTTAACCGTAACCCCCCCCCCCAAGGGTTGCTGGCCCTAACCTTCCCCATTCACATAAAGTTAAACACCCATATGGGACTTTGTGCATAGAGGCTGTTGGACTTTGTTTTTCTGAGGTATGCCAAACCCAATGCAAAAGCCAGCAGTTATGGGCCTACCAGACCTATCCCCACAGAATGAAACACTTTACTACTGTTTAATTCTGTGTGGTTGGGGAAGGTTGGGGTTAAAATCAAATTCATGTAACAAAACAATACTATGTGCCTTTAAACAAAAAGTTATGCACACTTGTAGTTGTACACATGTACGCTTTATGTACGGTCAATTGGTGATATGTACATCAAGCAGGACGGCAGCTTTTGTGTAAGACGAGGTCCGGACGATATGAGCTAATTTAGTAAGTCCTAAGGCCCTCGTATTAACAAGAGTCGACTGTATAAGAAAAAAAAGTGGTTCATATCCAGCCTTCTGCAAAAAACAAATATTTTTTCTTGAATAGTGGAGGCTGTCATCTTTGTTTTCTAGATTCCTTTCATGCAAGCAAAATAGCAGCCAGTTGGGTTTCATGAGCTCAGAAATCATTTGAAGTAAATTTGACATTGAGTATTTAGGAAGCCAGTTAGTATTGTATGCATCTTATTTACCAATGGAAATGCACATAGTATTTGTTGACATTTGTTAACCCTAACCCCGTAGGGTATATGTAAAATCGTATTGAAAGTGGAGGATTTGGGACTGTTAGGGATAATGGTAAATAGATTGACCCTTTTGGAACCACTGAATGCTTTCTGAGATTTTGTACAGTCACTTAATATATGACTTATGGGGCCAGCAGAGGGTTTAGTTTGTAAAATGTTGAAATTATGGTCTCAATGCGATCAAAATTCAGTGGGCTTTATACTAAACTTTGTTCTGAGTGTGACTGTTCATAACTTGAAAGTGGCTGCGTGTGAAGAGATTTGATTTCCTGTGTATTGGCATTTGTTGTAATTTTGCACTCTGGTACATCTACAGATACAGAGCGCCAATGGCGATGTAACCATTACCAACGATGGAGCCACTATTCTCAAGCAGATCCAAGTACTCCATCCAGCAGCCAAAATGGTAAGTTGTCGAACTGCTTCAAGAAACGCAGGGTTAGATGTAGTCACACAAACAGGATTGATGGCCTGAATTAATGAATGCGAACCCTAGGAACCCTAAATCTTCAACAATCCTGCTTTGGACCCAACTATTCCTAAGTCCTTCAAAATCCTCAGTGCTTTGACGGATGAGAGTGCGGGTTAGTGTTCGTGCATATTTATGAACTCATGCATAGTTACGAGCTTGGGCTTTTATTACTTAAATACAGATTTGGGATTTGAAGTGAGATCGCTTTGCAGAAAACCGTTGTGAGATTTGTGCAAGTGATGTTGAACACAAGATCCAACTCTTAGTCACCACTGTGTGATGATGTGCTGAGAAGCTGTAAATAACCTCTGATGCACAACAGGTCTCAACTAAATACAGCCTAAAAGAAACCTCCAGGTGTATTTTGAAAGGTGTGGAAGTTTTAGGGTTAAGGAGGTTACTGACGAAAGAATTAAGGAAGTTTGGGTTTAGCATGCTGACAGAAAAATGTTGGAGCTTTTTAACTTGTCGTAAAACTCGTCTCCTGCCTTCCATAAGGCAGTAATTTAGCCACCTATATTGCATTGTGAGTTGTGTGGAAAAATGCCCCTCAGCTGGTTGGATTCAGCAGACAGCCATTGCAGGCTATTGTTTTTGGACACACAGAGTGACCCCAACAACAGAGAGATGCAGACAAGCAAGCTGCCACTCTCATTGCTCTGTCGCGTAGTGTGAAAGTCTTGTCGCTTGTTGCTGTTGACTGTTCCCTTGTTCCATTTCAGCTTGTGGAGTTGTCCAAAGCACAGGACATCGAGGCCGGAGACGGTACCACATCTGTGGTGGTCATTGCTGGTAGTCTCCTCTCAGCTGCCTCCAAGCTACTCAACAGAGGTACTTGTATCATAGAGGAAGGACACAGAAGGAGTTGCAACTCAGGCACTTCAAAGTGTTCAATGATGGTCGCCGCCGAGTCAGACGAATAATAGAAAACATTCCAAAAATGCCTGATTACTGCCTGCATCTTAGCTGGACAAGCGGGGCCAGTAATATCCTAGCAATACTTGCAGTTTTTTGCTTGCAATTAAATACAAATTATCGCTGTTACCGAGAAATAGGGAGAGAAAAGGTACCTGACATTAGACCTACTTTTGCCATCGTAAATAAACTGTTTAAATTTTGATACACTGTTCCATTATTCATGCAGAGTTTGTAATTTTATTCTCCTCCGTCCAATACATCAGTGTTCAAAGAATTGTTATGAATTTGGCGAAGACTGGCCAACAAAATGTTCACTACTGCTGGAAAGCTTAGTTCATTAGGAACAAAATGTGCTATTTCATCACAGGGAGTGATCGTGAAATCTCATAAAGTACGCTTTTGTACAAATGCTATAATAAAAATGATTCAAACAAGACACAAAATCTTGTAAACAGCTGTGCTATTTATTCCCAAAATAACTCCAGAAGAGAGAGCTCATTCAGGACAATGACTGAACATATAGATTCAGGGCACACAGCTTAATGCAAGCAACTGGGCAAGCATTAAATTTGATGTTGTCATGAGATCACACCAAGCACCAACAAAGGCGTGAATATTCAATTTCCTATACCTCGGTACTTGGAGATTTAAGGATGCAGATTACCATCGACAAATTGCGACGGCGATCATAGGGTACAAAGGGGTTTCCTGGTTGTGAAACAGATAATGCGTAGCAAGCATTCGCTGTGCTCTGGTTATGGACATACCAGGCATGGTAGAAAGCAGTAATTGGCCAGATGTTTCAGCCCGGGCCGTTCAAATACCTTCTGTGTCCTCCCTCTGTGCTTGTATGGGACAAAATAGAAATTGATGAAAACTATTCCGTACTAGGGACAGAGCCCCCATGCATTGTAGAAATCTTAAGTTCTCATGCATTGCTGGTAACATGTATATAATCATGGTATTAAGCTGTATTAAGACTCATGTCGGTTCAAGCAACTGCCATGGATAATGGCTTGGAAGATCTTTTAAAACGTAGTTCCCAAAAACCAGTGAGATATTTCCTGGCCAGTTTATTCTTTTCGAGCACTCTTGAAAACGTCTGAAAGGATTTTCACTTGCCAGGATTCAACACGTAAAAAGAACATTTTGTTGTTGGGAAACAGTATTTTTTGTTCAGAAAGAAGAGGGGGAAGGATACATGCTGATCCTCTAAACCTTTTGGCGTCAAGGTTCTGTTCCTCTATCGATAATCCTTAATTGAATTCGATGCTGTGTCCTCAGTGAGACGATGTGCAAATGATGCATACACAAGATCCAACTCCTAGCAACCACATGGTGGTTGCATGCGGAGAACTACTCCAAGGAACCTCTGATGCATGTCATCATCTCACTGGATGGTTGAGACACATGACTGGCGTTTGCCTCCAGGAAATTGTCTCGAAAATGTTAAACAAAAAATCCAACAAACTTGAAAAGTGAACTGGACCAACTTAGAATTTGATTGAAATTTAAATTTTACATGTATGTTTTTGTTGTGTGAATTGGCCTATTTTCGGGTACTAAATTGTGAAAAACTATTGTTTCATTTATATCCGTCTTAGGCATTCATCCCACAACTATCTCAGAGTCCTTCCAACGAGCAGCAGAGAAGGCCGTAGAGATCCTGGCAGACATGGCCACACCAGTTGATCTTAATGACCGAGAATCTCTCGTGAAGAGTGCCAGTACGGCACTCAACTCCAAGGTGAAAGCTTAACTTGAACTCACCAAGCTTTTTTGCACTGAAATTCACTTCCGTGTAGGATACCAGACTGGAACTTTCAACAAACATTAAGCCCCATGTAGAGAGTATTTGTTGGGTTCTGCTTCTCCAGCCCTTCAAAATCTTCCAAAACCTGTTTGATTCCGGAGGATCAGGTACAATCAAAATGACATTAATATGCATTGCCGGAACTCTCGCACTTTTGAGCTCATGCATATTCATAAACTTGGATGGCTGCTTCCATTCAAAACAAAGTTGTGAGATATGTGCAATTGATGTGAACACAACATTCAACACTTACTCGTCACTACGTGATGATGTGCTGATCTCTAAGGAACCTCTGATGCATGTTGGCATCTCACAATTTTTTCTGTCCATTCAACTTTCGAGGTACAGTCCCATATTTGCAGCTGTCCATAAAGTAACTGACAAAGTTACTATTCAAATGTACACTTGGTTTTATATGGATAGTTATGAGACCAAGCTCCTTGTTGAAGAATTCTTTCAGGCAGACTAACTTTCAAGAAAGATGGCCATTTTCAGTGATGTGTCTAAAGACACACTATTCTTAGAAATTGCCGTTGGTAGTTAATTTTGAATGCGGGAAAGCATGCTCAGTCATTGACATGATGTACATTTGCACGCTGTTGTTACAATTTGAAAGTTAAGTTTGCAACATTGTGTAGCTGTAATAGGCTGGATGAGAGTGTGTCTCGGAAGCTGAAATTTGATGCAATTCAAAACATGACTGCAACTTTGGTTTGAAGTTGAGATCCTAGAATGTTGTTTTTCTGGAAATATATAGTATTCACTGAGCTCAAACTTCATAAGGTTTGTTGTAAAGCATGTTTCTTTAGATTTTGAGCACTTTTGTTGCCTCAAAACAAACATAATGTACAAATGATAAATAACGGACCGTATTTCAACATTGTCTAGCACCGTATGATTTATTTTTAAAAAGCATGTAAACAAGAATCCCTTTGTTATTCACTTGCAGGTTGTATCCCAGTACTCGGGCCTGCTCGCCCCTCTTGCTGTGGATGCTGTGTTGCGCATCGTCGACCCCAAACAACCCAACACAGTAGACCTGAGGGATGTAAAGATCATCAAGAAGTTGGGGTGAGAAAAAAAACGAAGAAACTGACCCACTTGAAAATCAAGTAAATTGATCTAATGGAACACCCTGTTTCAGTGTGCAAGGTGTGCGAAACTTGTCAAAGATTTTGAATCCAGAATCTGTTTTGTGTATGCAGTGGCACCATTGAGGACACAGAGCTGATCGATGGCTTGGTGTTCTCCCAGCGGACGGCCGGCAGCGGTGGACCAACAAAGGTGGAGAAGGCCCGCATTGGTCTCATCCAATTCTGCCTTTCACCACCAAAGACAGACGTAAGTCATTGGGTTGATATAAGTGGGTCTTTGTCAGTCATTCTTAAAGTGCAGCCCTACTCATTAGAGTCTTCACTGGTGTGCAGAAACTCCTGTTTGTGAGCTGAGATGCGTCTGGTTTGAAATTTGTGACAGCTAAACAAACAAGTTTGTTTTTCCTTTGTTTTGGCTAATGGACATTCAGAGTAACTGAGCTGTCATGGCTGTTTAGATTTAACTGTTTTTAGCAGTGATGGAGAACTAAAAGTGAACTAGGTTTAAGGGGGCCAGTCATGTTAGCATCGTGGCCCCAATGGTTGTTGATTTTAGCCATGACTTGAACATCCCAAAACCTGTTCTGCATGTAGGCTGTGTTTAACTGGAATGAAAATAGAGGAGGTGTCCCATAATTTCAGACAAAAACAACAGCCAGTACTGAAGGTGAGTGGTTCTTACATTGACCTCTTTGTGGTGCATGGTTTAACCACCTTACCCAGATGGACAACCAAGTGGTGGTGTCCGACTATGCCCAGATGGACCGTGTCTTGCGCGAGGAGAGAGCCTACATCCTGACCCTCGTCAAACAGATCAAGAAGGCTGGCTGTAACGTCTTGCTCATTCAGAAATCCATCCTAAGGTAGGCGACTGACTTCACTGTTCCATCTCCCTTGCAGTTGACCATCTTTGAACCAAAGGGAGGCTGCACCGGTAGAACATTGACTCATTTCATCGTGGCCTCCTCAAGCTATCATGCAAAAATTCATTCAGTGAGGCTTTTAGCAAAGAAATGCCTATTAAGTTTGTGAAATGGAAATTTGTGTTCAGAAGAAAAAATATGGACGCCGATATCTACAAAAGATTTTTTATGAATTGACTTTACAACTGGTTGTTTCTAGGGATGCCTTGAATGACCTGGCCCTGCATTTCCTGACCAAGATGAAGATTATGGTGGTCAAGGACATTGAGAGGAGTGATATAGAATTCATCTGCAAGGTGGGTGGTAGAATTACTTCAATTGGGGTATTTATGCTTGTACGGATACATTTGGTCCTATGGGGGCATTATTACTGTCTTCATGTGGTCTCAATAGGGGTGTGAACACAACTAATTTTGGGTGGGGCAGTACTCCATCTTAAGTTCTGTGCCACGAGATCCCAGTCAATCTGTTCACTAGCGTTCTGCCCTTTGAGGTCTCAATCGGGATATTGCTCAGAGTGAATTTCAGTTGAGGTCATTTATATACAAAGCTGGGGATATTTAGCTCAGTACGTGTGTCTACTTGTTTCCCTAGACAATCAACTGCAAGCCCATTGCCAGTATAGACCACTTTCAGCCTGAGATGTTGGCCAGTGCTGAACTAGTCGAAGAAGTGACGACAGGAACCAGTAAAGTTGTCAAGGTAACAGGATCAAATCTTCTGTCACAGTTCTGTGCAGTTTTGTCATTTTAGTAGTACATTATAGAACAGTGAATTTCGATCAGCTGTTGTTTATGCCATTTGTTTTTGTCCTTTTAGTAGTAGATTATAGATCATTGAACTTCAATCAGCAATTGTTTATACCAGCATGGATGAGTTTTGTGGAGTTGGTAGTCACCATTGTACTAAGTACACAGAAGACTGGCTCAGCATGAAGTGCATTTTACTGGTACCCTGCTGATCTGCAAAACAATATAAACATGCAGAGTGGTATTTTTAGCTTAGCTGGTGTTTGAAGTTGGACCAATATTGAATTCAACACTATGAAAGATCTATTTATTGATTGGTTGTCTCAGATTTTCTTGACAGTGAATGTGTTGCACCAAGTGATTTGCTTCATTGTATGCCATCAAGGCATATTTTTTATTTATTAAAGCTCTTTTAATTAAAGTCCTATCAGTTATAAACAGTTCTGCCGAAGGGCTCTAGGGCTTGGGGTGCAGGTAACGAGTTATTAGAGTTTGAAGGTAGCAGAACCCACAAAATCAGGTAGGGACTGAGATTCCAATTCACAATTTGTCCTTGGTGGCATTTTAACCTAGATCATCGAGTTGGAGGCTGATAAAGTACCATTAGGCCAGTCTTACCCCCCAGAGGGTTGTGGTTGAGTTGATCACAAGGAACAGGATGGGCAGTTGACATGTGATGAACTTATAGTTACATCTGATGACTTGCGAAGGGACTCAAATAGAATTGCCAGACTTCACCTAATATTACAGCTGGCGTCTTTATCTTGTTGTGTTTTTTTTTTACCATCCCCTCAGATCACTGGAATAGCAAACCCCGGCAAGACCGTGACTGTCCTGATCCGTGGCTCCAACAAGCTGGTCTTGGAAGAGGCAGATCGCTCCCTGCACGATGCCCTCTGTGTCATCCGCTGCCTGGTGAAGGAGAGGGCGTTGATAGCCGGCGGCGGCGCTCCCGAGACGGAGGTGGCGCACCGCATGACGCAGCACGCCCACACCCTGACCGGCATGGAAGGCTACTGCTTCAGTGCCTTTGCTGAAGCACTAGAGGTTGTGCCCTCCACCTTGGCTGAGAACGCCGGCCTCAATCCCATTGCGGTGGTGACAGAGTTGAGGAACAGACATGCTCAGGGTGAGAAAACTGCTGGAATCAACGTGCGCAAGGTACAGTGTCTGCTGATGGTTGTCTTTGGGTTCAGTTTTCTTAATTCAGAACTGGTTAATTTTTGTCCCGTCAAGTGAGAGATGTTCTAGTTCTTTCTTACATCCTGTTGCTTTGTATATTTTACATAGGTTCATTCTCATTAGGCATTGTGCTAAAGTAAAGACCAAATTATTGTATTAAACTTTTTGAGTTTAAATTTAGAACTGGTACGTAAGTTCCTGTGAGTTTATACTCACCGGTTCTTTTAGAACAACACCTCGTCCAACAGAGATTGATTCCATGGTGTATCCGCAAACCAATTACTCATCTTCCTGTGAATTCATTGTGGCTTGAAGTGGCTTAAAAGGAATTCAATATCAATTTGTCTAAAACCCAAAATAAGAAAGGTTTTATTCAACTGATAATTATGTGTCAAATGTCCACAACTCTAGGTTAATCATGATGGCAGTAATCTACTGTAAATTTCTTTGTAATGGCAACATAACTAAATCTGTTAAGCTGACTTTCTCTTTTAGTGATACAGAACAAAAGAAAAAGATTCTCGCATACTAATCTCGGGCAGATACAGTTTGATGAATCTTTTCACAAAGATCAATTTCCCACATTGCCTCTTGTATTATACTTGTATGTGCTTTGTACACCACAGTTGCTTCACCCTCTGCGTTTCTTGCTTATTTGCATTTTGTAGGGAGCTATCACCAACATCTTGGAGGAGAACGTAGTGCAGCCATTACTAGTATCGACCAGTGCCATCAGGCTAGCAGCAGAATGCGTCACTAGCATCATGAAAATAGACGACATTGTAAGTAGTAATCCACCCCCCCTCTCAGCACTTCAAACCAGCATCGGTAACTTGGTCATGCCAGTAACAGGTTCATGATGCTTTTTGCTTGAGTGAAGGAAGAGTTCTGACAAGAGTAGGACTAATTTTGCCTGTGGAAGGATATTGCAGGTCTGCTCATGTCTTATTCAGTTTCTGTTGACAATTTTTGGTTCTTTTCAAATTAGTTCCTGCTTGGGTTTATCTAATGACTTTTGTTTTTACATGACACCCCAAAACAAGACACCCCTTGCAAATTGAGTGTTTTTGGATTCATTACCCTTGTCAAATATCTAATTGACTTTTGTAACCGTGTGTTATACATGACTTCCCCCTCCCATCCAAAAAATAAACAAGATTTCCTTCTGAAATTTTAAAAGAAATATGGGTGATTCACAATGGAGGGTGTTATGGAAAGGCTTTTTTGCAGTGCATTATGGGATATATAGTCGACAAAGTCTCCTTTGCTACACTGCGCTGTGTGTGGAAAACTTGAATTTTTCCCACGGTTATGTATCTTGGTTGAAAATCTGAAATTGCTGTGTTGCGAATGGGTGTTAGGTAGTCAAAGTGATGGTTTTGTGTGGTGCATGGAATGTCTCAAATATTCCAAAATCACGTATGAAGTGTGCTTAATTGCAGCAGCGTGTCAACCGTAAACTTGAAAATGGCCTGTCTTCGCCCCTGCAGCAAACTCTTTGTAGCGCACTGTTTTGTGAATCGCCTATATTGATGTTTGTGTCTGAGAATATAACTCATAATTTTAATAGTTGTGGCAGTTTCTATGGCATTCCACTTGAGGCATTTTCTTCCCGTCTTTAACTTTTATGTTTTTTCATTTGCGTTTTTCAGGTTGTTACAATGTAGAGCGGTTTATCTGTGAAGTACTTCAGTCCTAAATTAAGATATCTATGTGGTAGCTGTTTCACACCCCTGTGCTGGCTGGCAAGACGAGGAACAACCATGTTAGGGTTGGAATGAAATAAACTAGTTGAGTGTATGGACAGTCTCATCGCCAGCGAGGGTGGCTGTGCTCGTGTGCGGCAGTTTATTGTCGACGATATATGTCATGATTTCCACAGTTGGAGATTTATATTATACTGCTCCACCGGGGAAATGTGGTCTTCGTTGTGCTTGGGGATAGTGCTTTATGGAGCCGCATTTCAATAATGCGAGACCTACACTTTGGTCCACTTAATATGGATATGTCAGGTTCCATAAAATGTTACCGACTGCATGTTTCCCTGTATTACCTTGAATGTTTCTTCACTGCAAATTCAAGCATCAGAGAGGAATTTGAATTGTTGCATTGCTATGCGTGTTGCTCTCACCAGAAAGTTCAGAGTCTCATTACTTGTCTTTTTGAAGCTGCGAATTTAATTTGTTGAGCATGCAGAAAAGCCATGGCCAGGGTAACACGCACTTTGAAGATTGAAGATTTAATGCGGATTAATCACCAATCTTCAAGAAAGATGGTCCATTAGGTATGCACCACCTCTAAATCTTTGGCTTATACTGCAAACCTTGGCAACATTTTGGAATATTTGTAGTCCATCGCTCCATTTGACTGACTGAAAAGAAAATATACTCAAGAAAAATTTGTCAGACTAGGTTACCGTATCAAATTTACCGTGGTGGACGGATGTCGTTGTCAAATTACCGCAGCATGATTGAATATTTGTGTAGGCTCAAACCTGACCTATACTTGAATTTTTGTGTGTAAAATATGTAACTTACACGTGCAGTAGTAGAGGTACATGTAGTTGATAAATGATACCTTGATTAACCCTCTTTTGCTGTAACCGTCAACAACAGTAAAAAAATTCCTTCCACTTGATTTCCCCCAGTACATAGACACGTATGGCAAATTTGACTGATTTTGACTGAAATGACAGCTGTGTCAAGAACGTGTCTTTGCATAGGAGGGTTAATACCAAATTGACTTTCAGAAGTCAATTTTAGTTTCGCATGGAGGTCAAATGCATCCGCACAAACCATAAAAATATTCTTTCACCTCAAACATTTGATATTTCTGCTGGAAACCCTCGGGACTACCAACAGAAAACACTGCAGTAAATCCAGTGGCATGTTTTTTTCTTTGAAAGAGAAATTAGAGGCCTGTGTATTATAATGGTGGCTGGTTTGTGCACTCTTCAGAAATTTGCAACAACCCCACATTTATTTGGCAACGTGACATTCGACACCATTAGTAGAAAGTCGTCAGACTGTACATAGGTAGCATTCTGGATATGTGCTGCAAAATTTAAGCCTATGTTTACAAGAGTCTGAAATACAGACTGGTAGATATCTAACCATGGCATTTCAAAGTTAGGGGGTTGGTCAAACATGCATGCTTTTTTTCACACTGTATTTTATGGAACTTTCAATATCGGCTATCTTTTTGTGTGCAAAAGGTTTGATATATTGAGTGAAATCTGTGAGCAATTGAAAAATAAAACTGGGAAAAAACCCAAGCATGTCTACAAATTGATGCAATGTGTCCTTCCCCGAAACTCACCGGCCAGCAGATTCCAATACATGTCATCACCGCACTCATTGTGTAGAGAATTGAACATTAAAACGTACTACTCGTGTGCATCCAAATTGTTAAGTAATATTTGAGGCTTTGCATGGTGGAAGAGACATGAAAAAATAGGTTTGCAGGTTAAAGAACCACACCTCTCCCAAAAGAGATTTACTCCATGGTGTACCAGCAAACGTATTTTTCATCTTAATTGTTGGGACACACGTGGAGGCCACATGGCAACCCTTTGGATCCTCAGCTGTGCCTGGGCAGTATATCAAGTCTAGTTCGGTAGAGAATCCTCCCCCACAGTAGTTCGGGAGAGTCTGCTAGGGAATACCTACATGATGCCTTTGCCATTCTCTAAAAACTCGATCAATTGTAGTGCACCCTCTTGCTACAATGCAGTATGTCCCTGCTGCTATTTTGGCATTTTTTCGGAGCACAAGGTCTGAGCCAAACTTTGGAGGACAGGCGGGTGCCAACTGTTTGGATAGGTTTTTCCTAGCAGACTCTCTCACACTACTGTGGGTTAGAGTCCACTGCCGCTCCTGCTGCCAAAACAGTTGCTACTTCAGCAGAGTAGCACCAGATCCTGGAGGATGGTTTGCAAGGGTACACAGATTGAGAGAAAAAACTCTGATTAGTGTCTATAGAATGTCTTGAAGAGGAAGAAGGGGGAAGTGCTGAAAAGTCGCCTCCGTTAAGGGTCCTTGTGGACAAGATTGTGTTGTCATGGGAGCAGTCTCAATTCAAGACGTCACTCAGGTAGAAATGAATGGTCAGGGTGTCTTCTGGCATGCCGCCCTGCAGATGTCCTCCCTTTGGACGCCATGGGTTTCATTGTCTGAAGAGATCAGCTATTCAGGATTGGCAAACTTGATGGTGGATACAGGCCATTTATCTATAATGTTCGTGCTTGCTGGCCGATGAGGTCTTACTGAGGTAATGAAAGAGCTGAGATGTTGGACATTTTGGCTTCTCAGCCCTGGCCAAATACCATTTGAAAGTTCCAATGGGACACCATGGTTTGCCATCACGAGAGGTGGAGTGTTTTGTGATGTTGAGAACAAGGATGTCTGGTGGGTGGAATCATGCCCATTAGTTCTTGGCGAGGAAGCCTAGGGCTAGGATGAAGCAAATTCCATTGGGGCTCCCATCTGATGTGGACATCTGCGACAGAGTACGCCTGTAGTTTGCTTCCTTGGCACGAAGTGGTTACTCTAAGTAGAAAAGCTAGGTTTACCAAGATGTGTGATAATGAGGCCTCACTGAGGGGCTCGAAGGGATGACCCATGAGGTGCTGAAGGACATGAGACAGGTCCCAAAGGGAATGAGCTGTGTTGAGGGAGAACCGTGGATGGACATGCCACAAAGGAAGTGATTGGGGATGTTGTCCAATAGAAAAACCATCGTGAACAGTTCTTTGTGAAGAACAGTAGTTGTGTCTAGTTGCTACCTGTAGTCCTGAGTTGAATAGGTACATGAAACAGAAACAGTTATAGAGGCCTCAGTTGGAACCACACCATGAAGTACAATGTTGTATTATGTTGTAGACTTTGTGAGTTGACTGGCGTTGACCTCTTGCGGCCATTTCAGCAGCATGGATAGAAAAGCCTGCTGCACGGAATGATCATTAGACAATGGACTGTAGGTCAGGTGAAGAGCTGCTGGCTTTGAGTAGAGGACGTTGGACTTGGGTTGGAGAAGGTCCGGTCTAAGTAGAAGGATAAGAGGGACTTGTACTGACAGTCTAGTCAATCAGGGGAACCAGGATTGGTGAGGCCAGAACAGAATGACAAGAAGAACATGGCAATGCTCCAGTTCGATCTTGAACAGCACTGCTGGGATTAGGGACGTTGGAGGGAAGTGTAAGCAAGCACCCCTTTCCAGCTGATACGGGAAGGGAAGCACCCAATCCAAGTTGGGACACATCATTAGTTGTTGTCACCTGTGGATCTATCTTTAGGAAAGAGAAGCCGCAATTGAGATGGCTCCTGATCAGCCACCGCAAAGGTGTAGGCAGATGAAGTCTGTTCTGGGAACTAGAAGGTTGATTGGGTCCCATTCGGGTTTGAAGTACACCATTAGGTGGTGCTCAGTGGAGGGGCTTCATATGAAAACAGCAAAAAGGTACCAGGTCCATCAGGCTTGCTATCAGGCCGAGGAGATGTAGCCATGCTCGGACTGGGGTCAATTGGCAGGATATGAAGAAGCTGATGCATTCTGGGAGATTATTGATGTGCTCCGGTGTTGGTGTGATGGAGCCTTGGCGAGGTTGAGAACCGCACCCAAGTAAGTCTGACTCTGGGTAGGGGTGGTCTCAACTTTTTGTGGTTGATTAGGAACACTAGACGGCTGGTAAGCTTGTAAGGTGAGTGGAAGCTGCAGCCTCGTCTGGAGATCTGCCTACAATAACCCAGTCACAGAGGTATTGGAATATCAAGATGTCTAGCTAGCATAGGTAGGCAGCAACAATTTTCACCACTCGGGTGACAACCCTCGAAGATGTCGAGAGACAAAATGGCAGGGCTGAAAATTCAAAGGTTCTTCCGTTGTCGATGAATCGAAGGAGCTTGCGGTGTCGTGGGTGGATTGGGACATGAAGGCAGGCATCTTTCAGATCCAGTGACGATGCCCAGGCTGGAATCGGCAGGGACTGAGTGACTGTTTGGAGAGTCCCCATTTTTGCTACCCCAATGGGGTAGCAGAAATCAAAAACATGAAGAAAAACATGAAGAATTCCTGACAAGTTGGAAAAAGCCTCGTGGCTGCGCCACTCGTGCATGTGGTCTCTGGTCCAGCCACTTTCCAGTTAATACACATAAACACAGCCGCAAAGGCCCTGACGAAAGGCTTGCCAGGACCTTGCAAGTACTGTAGGCGGCCCCTGATAGTTTCGGGATCGGAGACCCCAGACAAAGCTTTCTAGTCATCGAATGAATGGAGGTAGCACTGGGTGTTCCCCTCTGATCTGCATCCCTTCTGTGCTGTCTGAGAAGGGAAAGGCAGTGTAGAACTTGACTGGTGTACAGGGGACGAAAGGAGCGAGTGGAGTTGTCACCAGTGTCTTGCATGGGAGAGGACTTTGTACGTTTATGTGCAAGAACAGTCTACAGGCAGTTCAGGAAAGTTGTTGCCGAGGATTCCAGTCTGGCTGCATGACGTTTGAAGGATGGGCTAGATTCGGAGTCCTCCGACTGGTGACAAGGCAGGCAGACCCATGACTTGAATCATGTCTCTCTGGAACTGATGAAGACAAGACTCCACAGGGTAAGGCTAGCAGCGGAGTCTGTGTCTTTGTCCTGACAGACACATCTTGAAGATCAGATCATGGCTGGACCAGGTCTTGTTGTGTATCTTGCATGACATTACATAGTCATTCTACAGTTCACAGAGTTGGGAGGAGGCTGTGCATGATGAGCATAACAGACCGATTTGGGGAGATTATTGCCCCTCGTCCTTGTCACGTGGCCGGACCACCTGAGTTGTCTCTGGGTCAACATAGAGCTTCCACACTTGGGATAACGGCATGGTAGAGGACTTCAACATCAGGGACCCTGTCAGACCAGTATTTCCCCATTATTGGCCTCAGCTGTGTCATCTGAACTCTCTGTAACCACTTTATGTGTCTTCGGTCAAGGATATATGTTTCTGATGAGTCAAGGAGGTAGGTCAGAACCACTGCTCTGTAGACTTTGCACTTGCTGGCCAAGCTGATGCCCGTCTCTTCTACACCAAGGCTGGAAGTTTCCATAGGTGTTCTGCAGAAACTGCACCAATGCACTTTTCAACCTCTTTTTAGACTGTTGTCACTTAAGACTGTACGTGCTGCCAAGTTATGTAAACTGCTTGAATGCATTCAAGCGGCTACCATTCAACATCATGTTGGGTTCAGGGGTTTCTGAGTTGCGGGGCGTTGAAGCATGACTTCTGTCTTTGTCGTATTAATGGTGCGGCTGAGGCTCCAAGCAACAATGTGGAAGCTGTCCAATATTCTCTGCAGGTCAGCTTCAGGTGAGCAAACAAGAACTGGGAAACCGAGTTGTAGGCAATTCAGAAGGCAGCCCCCGTGTGCCGCTTGGTTGCAGCCCCCCCAACACACGGGTATCAGCCTATGTCTTAACATCCCAGTTGAGTGGTGGTTCATAACAGTAAATACAGGTTAAATGGCCATGCCTGGCCCTGATCATACTGTTTTTGAGTTTATAAATTAGAGTTGCCGGTATGACCCTATAAAGGTACTTTGTAGCAAGATTTCCTCACAGAGTCAACATAGGATAACCTGGAAGTGCAGACACACAGGAAAGAGAAATACAAATACACATATGGGTCATGAAGGGCCACAGGAAGGGCACAGGAAGAATAACAATAGGGAAATGAATCACAACAGAACCGACAAAAATCACTTGAACAAGGGAATGACTCATAAATAAGGGGAAAACCGACACAGCACAATGAAAAGGAATTTATTTAAAATACATTACAGTTGATCAGGTTTAACACAGATGATCTAGCAAAACAGAAAACTCTAGAAATTCCAGGATGCAAAAATGACATGTGCCATAAGCAATGGCACTAAGAAGAAGGATAAACATTGCAGTGGCACCATGCTGCATTGTAGCACTAGAGGGCACACTACAGTTGATCAAGATTTCACTGAATGGCAAAAGGGGTGGAAGAAAATTTGCCAAGGTAGTGGCTGTTTGGATAAGATGAGCACAGTGGACTGTGCATGTTCTTATAGTAACCAGACACAATTAGGTGCACGCAATGCACTGACTAACAATTCAGTGTGTTTATTACAATATGCTGCCTCTAATCATTTCAAAATATCTGAAGTCGGCACTACATGAAATCTCTTCAACACTTGAATTGCACAAAATGATAAAACAATTCTACAATAACAATTTCTGTTTCATTAGCTGATTCTAGTTCATTAAGGATAAAGCTGATAAGATATAAAGTCCCATCCAAGGGTTTCCCCAAACATAATGTGAAGAATAAAATCTACTTTGGTGACACAATCCATGTAACTATATGCAACAAAACCAATCATTAAACTTATTACACATAGAGTATGCTCGCTTGAAGACGTGTTAAGTATATGCATACAAAACAACTTTTGTAGTGTGTATAAATTATACATATAAATATATTTATAAACAATTTTTATTGAGATGAAATGTGATTGCCTCATTATTGTGTATACAAACTGCCAAAGAAACATTCTGGTAACACTATAAAGTAAAACAGTGTAACACTTCGTCATTTTCACACACCTCTCACCTTTAACATCAAACCTATTAATGAATTACAAAAATACATGGACACTCTCACATCCTTCGAATTTCTGATTCATATGACTCCAACAGGTTGGTACAACATGGCAGCTTATGTTATGCTGCAACCACCTCTGTGTAGCATCCCGATGTCATATTCAGGATTAATGTGAAACTTGTCAGTTTACCAAGGAACCAGCCTATTTTAGCACAAGCCTCATAGAAAACTGAAAGGTATTATTTTGATGTAAAAACAACATAGGTGAATTACTCCTTCACAAAAATAAATCTGAAGAATCATCTATGATTACATCTACTGAACTTAAAACAGAAGCACACAAAAAGTACTACATGTTTTTATGGCATTACACTCACCAATGAAATCCCAATGTAATCTTGTAATTGACTGATCAGTTCGGACAGAATCACCTAATTGGTGGTCCCTTGCTTGGTGAGCAGGATGGGCAGCCAATTTTGTCAATCTCAACTGAAAACTCACAAAAATACCCCACACACCCTCGTCCTCCTACCATAACTTTGGTTCTCATATACTGGCCCAATTGTCCCTTTCCAATTTTGAACCACATGATTGTATAAATTTCTATTTAACAGTTACAAATTCAGTGACAGACAGACAGAGACAGGCAAAACTAACAAAATTCATATTTTTTGTCGTTGCGCCACTTCATATATCAACTTGTTGCCCATTTTGTTTCATTCAATGGTATATCCACAACAACCTTTACACAGATATGTTACAGGTATTCATTTTTTTGTCCTTTTAAAATTTGCCAAAAATTAACTCCTCGATGCAAAAAAGCAGCTTTCACCCAAACCTTTATTCAAATCTATCATTCCTCACCAATTACAAAAGTTTATTTATGTGTATCAGCTTCAAACTCCTTTTGTTACTTCAACAGTCTGGAACCTGCTTTTAAAAGATACCGTTTTGAGTAAATAAAATCAGAGTTCTATAAAAGTTGTTCTGGTGGAAATTCCAAGGCACATGATTCAAAACAGGAGACAAGACTTATTCTGTAGAAAATGCTGCGATCACCGACACATTCCCAACAATGAATTTCTCATCTCCTTACTAAGGGTGTTTCACATCTTTGACTTTTCAGCATTCCTATCCAAAAACAATATCTGACAATCTCCAAACTGATCTTACATAACTGAAGAATATCAGCCGACAAAAATTGATATCCAGGGTGAATTTTCTAAGACTGATCAAAGAAAACCAGGCCATAGCTTGTCTAAAGTTTGAAGTCAGAATTTTTTATCTTACTAGTAATTAAAATAAAAAATCCTGCAGACCAATGTATATTATAAGCTCTAGTGGGTGTATTCAATGTAAACAGTCACGCTGTTCCAAAGGTGTTATGAATTGTGCACTAGCCTTGTTTTCCAGAATGCACTAGAAATGTCAAGACTCTGAAATTAAGCTCAAGCAAAAAAAAATTGATTCAACATCAAATTTCAACCATCAATAGTTCGTTCTTCCTCATTTTTATAGGAAATGTCAAAAAACAGGCACAAATTAAATACATTACACCAAAAAGAAAAAACCCAGAAACTAATATAAGACAATAGTGCAAAGTGTAAATCCCAAAATGTAAAATAATTCAGAGTTAGTTTGTGACTAGTTTATATATTTTATTCATTTGCACTCAAACCATACTGCTGATGTTAATGTAACAATTCATATCTTATTAGCAATTCATTCAGTTGCTTTGAATGTCATGTAAAAACATCTGTTATTACTAAAATTATCCTTGTCAGGACATGTGTTAGTAGATCAATTTGATTGACTGAATTTTCAACAAGAGTGTTTGGTTTGGGGAAATGCTTCTACAATTTCAGAATACTAGGAACCCAAACTTGATTTTCTAAAACCCATGAAAGCTGTCAATCAGAAACTCTCCACAAATATGACAGAATTATTGATTAAAACTTTTTCTCCTGGAATAAATTGTCAACAGTGTGCAGCAATAGATGCAATAATTCCATTATCAAGTAGAAACTATTTTGAAAACAAAACTTAATGAAAACATACGCATGGACTCCTATTATGAAGTTAGCTATATGCTAGGATTCAATGCTGAGGGGTCAAGTTCGCATGCCAGTGGGTCAAAGGTCACAAGTATCAAGTTTATTGCAGCAGAAATCCATGTCCTTTTACATAAACCATTTTCAACTTCAAAAGTAAAGTTCTGGTAAACCTCTCACCGAACCCTATTGCACCAAACCCTGTCAACAAATTGCTAACATTTCATCAATGGTACGATTGGCTTGTTCATCTGTGACCTTCACAAGATTCCCCATCTGTGACCTTCAGGGTGAGGTCAAAGACCTCTTGGTATGATCGTGATGTTTCCCCTGCACTGCCCGCACCGGTCAATAGTAGAGACAAGGTTATCACAGTCACCCACCCTAGTACAAAGAGAAGGACTGTGGGTGGAGTTGCTAAAATATAAGCACTAAAAGTATGTGGTTTTGTACTGACAAGAACCTTCCGTTCTGTGACAAACACCACAACATCCCATTTAGAAGTCCTCAGCATGATAAACTTGGCCTGTCTAGTGCCCTCCATACGTGGGCACCGGGTGTGAATGAAGACTTCATCCTGTACCATAGCATCATGGGAAGTCAGTCTGTTTCTTTACTCCTCTTCGTACTGTTTACGGAAGCAGTCTCCGACGGGGAAGAAGTCCCAGCACCGTCGTTGGTACAGCTGCCAGACATACGACTCCTGGGGATAACAACCAGATTGATATTACCTTGACAAGCAAATGAAGAATACCCCCCACTTTAGACAATGGGGCCAAGAATGAGCAACGATGGTGTAAGCATGACTGAATTCTAAAGGCTGGTTCATACTACAGGCAAATATGAGGCCAAGCAAATTTGACGTTACAAAAGATTTGCAGCAAAATTTTGCTCGAGTTGAATTGTGTTCAACTTTTGCAAATTGCACCGAGTATGAACCAGCCTTTATGTTTCAAAATAATACCAGCCTTGAAACCTAAGCTGCTGAACCAAATCAATAGAAACCACACCAAACCAAATTTCCATTCAATTATTTCTGTCGGATTGTTATGCATGTTTCATCTGCAGCCACAAAAACAATATAAGCAGCTATGAATTCAATCGTTTAAATCCTCAACATAGATACTAGTTCCTATACATGGAATTGAAATTAGCTACCTTACAACCAACAATCAAAAAACAAATTTTTGAGGAAATTTAGGCTGTTTCACAATATGTCTCTACACTGTAATAGCTTTAATTAATAATATCAGATGTGAGACACAACTTTATGGGGAGGGTTCACAATCAAGGTTAGGGGTAAGAACTGAACTGACCTGTCCAGTGTGCTCCGTTTCCGGCTTGTTGATGAGATACATCAGGAAGAACCTACAGAAAAACAATCAAGATTCGTCGGAGGGGAACAGTTGAGTCCGTCACAAGTCCTTACACAATGCCAGTCACAAGTCCTTACACAATGCCAGTCACAAGTCCTTACACAGTGCCAGTCACAAGTAACAGGGTAAACAATGACAAAAGGACGTTTTTGTTACAGTTCATTGGAATGACTTGGGATTTGGTTTCAGATCTGTGGACTTGACTACAACTCTAAAACAAGAAAATAAGAGTATGAGAACAACCACATAAACTTTGTGGTCAAATTCTAACGAGAGATACATGTACCTGTAACTTTTGGGTTGTGAACATTTAGTCAGTGCTGGACAAAACTCAATACTCCAATAACCTCAAATAAAAAAATGACCAACTGCATAATTAGCTGCAACAGCAGATTCAATTCAACTTGCAGACCCAGGCACACATGGCAGTCACGTGTCAGGCCACTCTGACTGGAAGCTCCTCCTCCCAAGCAAAGATGACACTGGGATCAATTTCAGCCGAGCACACAGTGCTCATCTAAAGAATTGACATTTCAACAGAAGTTGGTTGAGCGTTCTAAGCATGTCTCGTGTTCAAAACCTGTGCGCAAGAACCCTGTGCACACACGTTTTCTAAGCACAGGGTAATCACTCCTAAGTAAAAACATGCCATCTCTTGTTCCTGCATAGAGTGGATATATACTCACATATAGTTGGAGAGATCATGCTCTTTGGATGTGTGGAGGTCAAAACCATGTGGGATCTTATCAAAGTACTCACTGCCTATGCCACAGATGAAACATTTGGTCTGAAGAAAGGCAATGCAAATGTTACCATCAAATAAAATAACAGCAATAATAAAATGTTGACTTATTCAGGAACCTGGTCAAGGTGCCTCCATCATTATTACCCCTGCTCACTGGGCCCATACACATTCCTCAATCTCAGCTTCCTATACACCTGCCAACACAGCTTGATGCTGCCATTTTTTGGAACAACCTGCACTCACAGGTACCCATTTATACCTCTGGGTGGAAAGAGATAAACGGGAGTAAAGTGACTTGCCGAAGGTCGCGACATATAACTAGCAACTGGCTTTGAACCTCTGACCCCATGTTTGGGTGTTACAAACCATCACCACTGGGCCACATGCCTCTTGAATTGTGAGTCCTGTGGGCAAATTAACCACAATTTCTTACAACTCCACGATATAAATTTACAGTTCAACCCATGAAACTGGAAGGAGAAGGGTGCAAGGAACAACTATGGATTAAGAAACAACTGCTTACTGCATAAACCCAACATTGTACACTGATCTAGTTCTTGGATCATGCTATGACTTAATGCATATGAATGAATCTTTTATGTATACAACTTTACCAATGTGTTTTTGTCTTGGGCACATGTCCTACAGTTTTACGAAGAATTCAGCTGGCAACAATCTCCCCCTCACTCTCTCTCTCTATCAAACCTACCTCCATGTCACTCTTGACCTGCTCAAGTTGATCTCTCAACTCGCCAAAGGCATCAATGATCAAACCTGCGAGATGGGGAACCAAACCAAACAGACACTGATGTAATGGTTCATCAACAGGTGTCTGTCCATGAGGACTTTGGTTTGATTTCTAACAGCAAACCAAATCTCTGACTACGGCCCAAACTATCGAGCCCTTTCAGTTTGTGAGTCCATCTTTTCCAAGACCAAAACTCAAACCACTTGGAGTACGTGGGCACATTATGAGTCACACATGTAAGACAAAGCTACATACATTTGTAGAGTATTGTGTTAATAGCACTGTGTTGTATACAGCGTTATCTGGAGTGTCAGCATCCATGTATGGACATGAGAATGTGCATTTTGGCTTCAGTTTGTCTGGGATTTCATTAATCACATGATTTTTGCTCTGCAGCTTGACTGGCTGATTGTGAAATGCGATATGACACTTAATATGCAATTAGCGTCAACCAGACAAACACAAAATGGCGTGTCAATAAAAGTGTGTTTTCAAAACTTGTCATTCTACTCGCATTTCTTTCTAGCTGCTAGATTTCCTACATATTCAAAACATATTCAGAATGTTACTCCAAACTATTCAGAAAACAATTCAAGTTGTGATTTCAAATATTCATTAACAAAACTTCTGGCCCTTGAAAGTTTGCACAGGTTGAAAAATGACAAAAAATAGGATGAAAAAATCCACATCTACACAAATCCTCCATTCTGTTTGCTTTTTTATGACCATGACACCAGATACACTGACATTTTTGAGGGTCTCACCTTGGATGATGGCCAGCAAGATAATAATGACAAAAAAGAAGAAGGTGATATCAAAGATGATGCGGTAGAATTCATAGTCATCGCCATCGGGAGGCTCAATCTCGTCAGCTGGGCAAACACACACAATGCAAGGGGAAAGAATTGAGAACCCAAGCAATTACTTTGGAAGTTACAAGGCCAATCTAAACTACCCTAGTAGAAGAGAACTATAAAATGCAAGTAGAAAGTGTGAAAGTACCCAGAACAGGAAAAGGGAAAAGGGGAAATGACCTTATTTACAAGTTGGCCATATTAAATTGAAAGTAATATGAAATTTTTATTATGGGAACCTAAGAATAAAAATGAAAGCAATGAAAGTAACGTTCACTACAGATTAATTTCAATGACAACGAGGAATAATTTAAAACTTGTGATTTATTAGATCTAAATTTTTGCAATCCTAGTTGCAACAGTTTAGAGTAAATAATTGCAAAGTAACTTGCCACTGCACCATGGAGGAAACATCTCTCATTCAAGTTAGAGTGAAGTCCTGAATAGGACCAGGACATTTTCAGAATTTCACCAACTCCCAAAAGAGATGCAGATATTTCTGAATGGGTACAACCACAATATACATCACATTCCTTCCTCCACCTTGATATCTCATCCAAATAAAATCATCAGCTCCCTCCTTTTTTCACTTACCGATTCCACCTCCTGCTCTAAGCCCTGAATGCAGATGGAAGATGAAACACTGTAGGAAAAAATCACAACCACAGCTCCGTTAAATGTTCCTTTTTGCTTAAGAATAAAATTTACCTGACAAAAACAACCATGGAGCTATTATAAAGCACATACACAGATTGAAAGGGTCAATGATGGCCACCGCCAGCATTGCACGTACTGTAAGGACAAAACAAATTATGTGCCGCTTGCCGGCTATGAGGAATGCCTGGAGTTCCATTTGTAAAGGATTGTGAGTACCGTGCATGCGTTACCGTGCATGCGTGTCCGTAATGCTTCCCCGTGTTCAACATGGCTGCCATGAGACGGAAACCACCGTCATCAGAGACTTAAATTTCGATAATTTTAGTGATTGTTCTGATATTCCGATGATGATGAAAGTCTGGTTACGTCTTCACATAACCAAAACGTCTCTTTTAACAATAGACAGAATTACTAACTAACACAAACTCTCCAAAATACGTGACAAAAAACTGAAAGAATGTAGCTGGTCTAGAGGAAAATGAAAAACACACAAAAACATGGGAAGATTGGTTGTCCTTTCTGTCATTGGCCACAACTGGCCAGGCATGAAACCTCACCAAATGTATTCTGGCGGCATGTTTCCACCTTCTTTTAACCGTAGGAACCACTAGGATTGCGACTTATGATATAAATATCGCAGCGCATATTTTGGGTATTTGTTCTCTATCACCGGAACCACAAAATGTCATAACTAACTTTAAAAACTTCTAACTTATGCCAAATAACCACCGCTGATTTGGAATTTTCGAGCGCATCTGCGGAGATCAATCGCTGACTCCTAAAGACTACTGAAGAGAACTCCAGTATGCCGCAGCGAAACACGGCGAGTGTGTGGGTTACTAGCTCCACGGCGGTAACGATCACTTTGTACAAAGAATGTCTGGGGTCTTCACCACTGGGGCCGTTAATCGCGCTTTGTCTATGGAGCCAACCAGAGCGGTTAATCGAATTACGGTCTGTAGGGACTTTGTTCTAACTCCTTGTGTTTAACCACTTGCTGCCGTTATCAATGTTGATGATGCTGGTCTGGGATAATTACCATTTTCTTCTGTTTTCGAAATTCTTTAAAAATTCTTATCTTCATTTACGGGACACTTAAACACACAAAGAACTGTCTGGTCTCCACTCTAGGCTGACAGACAAATCTATTGACGCCTGAGTATTTCAGCCAGGCCTGCAGCCTGGTAAAAAGAGCCCAGATTGTGATAACTTTCTTTTGTTCGCGAACCTGCCACAGTGCGCTGCTGACCTCTTTTCAGTACGGGCCAGATTAGCATGCAGCGGTGCTGTGTGGCTCATCGCTGCGGTTGTGGAGCTCTTTTGTCCCCGTTGGTAATCCGCTCGCTCTAAATGCCCCAAACCGTGGTATACTGTTTCAAAACAAGGCTGGATTATCTCCACTTTTGAGAGTGAAAAATGTGGGTAATGCCCAGCAGCCTGGTCTTTTGTTCGGAGTACGGTCTTTTGTTACAGGGCCTAGTTCCCTTTGTCCGATTTCGGAGACCCCGGCCACGCATATAAAGCATACGTCTCCGGATCCGGAATCCCCGGCAGGAAGTGGTTAATTGCTCCATGATACAACATAACCTGGAGCATGACCAGAAACTTCTCCAAATACATCTTAAGGAGCCAGTTCGGAATTCCAACAGCCCATCCCCAGTACGACGCTATTCAGGAACAGCTACCCGTGCCGCACACAATACATGTAGTCCGTCCTATCAGGACAGCCATACGCCAGCTCATACCCATGCCTTGATCCAGAAAGACCTTGGCTTTTGAAATATCAAACTGGCTCACTTGTGCTTATTCCAATAGGAGGCACTGACAACATTTGTCTAAAACATCCCTTCACATTTTTTTGCTTTTTATAATAGCTCTGTCACATCGTTCAATCTGAGGAGATGTCACCACTGCTTAAAGTTGAAGCAAGAGTGCATTTTGTTAAGTCACAGTACCCAATTGGTTGAATGGGCATGTAGACGGGTGCCACCCACATGCCACAGCAACAGCTTCTAACAGACCGACTGTGCCCGCTACATCACGTAACCTATAGTGGGTATCATTCCCATAGCAAAGTGTGTTTTGAGTGTTGTTTACAAACAATAAAGCTAATTTACAGTATAGTACCCAACACATCAGTAGTCTGAGTACAGTCTCCACCATCGGCTTTATTTTTGGTAAATGATTGGGATGTAATTACAAAAATCACCTTACAGTCACAATATACTTGTGGTACCGGGGGGGGGGTGCTGGTGGCCCAATACTCAGCTTTGTCTCCGTATCCAGCTCCAATTGATTTTTAACCCAAGTCACTATCTCCATTATAAGGCAGACAACACTGGAACACTGAACGACGTACGAAAGAGCCATATATTGACAAATTTTATTTTACAAATTTGAGAACTGTAGGCCAATGAACATTCAGCCATCAACAAAGCCTGAGACAAAGACGCAGCCAAGTATATGGAAACTGCCACGAATTCAAGAGGGCCTTAACTACAAAAATTGCACCCGAGGGTACAACTGCAAAGCATCCCCACCTCGCAAAAAAAGCTCAAAAATACATCTACGAAAATAATACATTTAAGGCTGTACTTGGAATACTTACTGTCATCATGTTGTGGCATTTGTACTCTATCTGTCCATCCTCATCCTTCATGTAGAACTTGCGGAAGAAGTTGAAGGCCAACACCGTGTACAGGTAGATGACAACGCAAGTCATGAGAACAGTCAACATCAGCTATGTAGGAAAGCATCAGGATGAAGAAAGGGTTTTCAAGGGTATTCATGGGATGTTGGGCAGTTACAAGCACTTCCTGGTTTGAAATGCATCACTTTGTACTACGACTGGTTCCAGTGGCTACGATGTACCACACATGTTGAGTGGGCACCATTTAATTTTCAATGACGTCACATTTTGGAACTGCACTGCCGATTTAGCGCCAATTTCAAATATAAAAATATTTGCTCGGCAAACAAAAAATGGCAATGGCCAAAATGTCATATGTGTCCTGTGATTGGTTCTCGACTAAGCAATGTTTTCTGCATCCAGCCCAATGAAACCGAGGCAAGTACAGTGTTTCTCGTTGGATTTATACCTTTACAGCTCTCATATATTCCTATATGTAACAGCCCTGTAACAGAGCCTTCAGCAATGCTTTTGGCATGCACTCACACTTAGGTACGTTAATCACATGTGAAGACGTGACATTTTGTGCATATTCTGCTGAAAACTGGTCACACATACAAACCATTCATACAGGCAACTTCAAAAGCCATATGCTGCTCAGAGTCAAGTGGTTTAGCCATTAATGCACGTTACACAATACACCGTGACTCAAATCTTCTTTTTACCTGCTTGCCGTTGTGGGTGACTGACTGCAGCACCGTACGCAATGTCTTGAAGCCCATGGCCATGTCAAGCAGGTGGGCAGCAAAGAAGAAGTGATTGATATGGCCCAGCAATGAGAAGGTCAGATACCAGGCGATGTACAGGAAAGACTGCAAGAAAGAGAAGCCAAGTGTGGTTGATGCGTGGCAGACAGGAGACCAGACCTTGTACAGGAAAAGCAGGCAATGTCATCACAGCTACAGAATACACTGAGCTGTTTTCAATCACCAGAGCAGTCTATACCTCATCAGTCCCCATGCAGAGAGGTTTTGCCATCTCCTGAATGCAGACATTTTGATCTCTTGTGTGCTTTTGTATTCCATAATGAAATAAAATGGATCGCACTGCGATCTATTATGCAACGCAAAAGTCAAACAAGCGCATAACAAATAGTGCCTTTTTATGACGTATTATTACGTCCCATTCATCTGCAGCAGACATGTTTGCAATTGATTACATCACAGAAAATGAAAGTTCTGCTAAGGTTTGCGGAAAAACATGGATGCATCTATCAGGCTTCACTTCGCACAGTGAGTTAGCACTCCAGTAATTGAAGACAGCTCTATGATTAAATATTTTGTGTCGGGACAACAGCAATTTGACCTTAGTCCAACAGGCCAAACATTCTGCACGGACGACAGCCATGTGTGAAAGGGGCTTCCAGATGTCTACATTTCTTGTCAATGTGTGCGAACAGATCAGTGATCTGCAAGACTCAGACAAAGCTCTAAACACGCAGCCTCAGGGAATGAGTGGAGCTCGACACAACTGAAATCACCATAAATACACAAGCCTGTGTCCAAGCTCTTGGTTGGTGCTTGGCTCTGGCATGTTTTGGAATAAATATCTATGAATTGAGATGGACAGTACTCGTGTATTTACAACACATGGTGCTTATGGTGCCCAATGTCATCATTCTTGTACTTAACAGATATACAGAAGACAACTGGCTCTCTAAAAAATGCAACAAGGGTAGGCTTATAGTTCCAACAACAATTGTCTTTTTCCGCCAAACTCTTGTAGAAGCAAGACACTGGTGACAACGTCTTGAAAACATAAAATGAACAGACAGCAGAAGTTCAGGGAATTCATCCAATGATATTGCCATCCTCAGGAACTATTTCTTGGTTGTGGAGAGATGCTTAATAGCTCAGACTAATGCATCTGAAAACTACATTTTCTTTCTGCACACAGGGTATTGAAATGAAGTATGTATGGGTAATCATAGTGTATTTCTTTCAAGTGTTCCTTTTAACACTCACCCTATCTGTACAGATGACTCCACATTTCCAGAGCTGGTACTTCCAATCAATGGCATACAACCTGCGATAACAAAAAGTGAGCATGTTCCAGGGTTTATCGACCCCTTCTCGACTGGCTTTTTCAGAGAAGAGTCTGCTGAAATTCCAACACGAGTTCCCCCACAAAAGTGAGTACACTCCCAGTGTACGCATTCCATCATCTTGTGGCCCCGTCCCTATCTGATAACGTAAAGACCTTTGACGTACTCGGTTATAACCAGACTAACTTGCCTCCTCCCAGTACCAAGCTACCTATTAGCTACTCCATGGGTCTCAATAGGAAGAGGGCAGGATTTTTGGGGGGTGGGTCTAAGCACTCAAAAGCAGTATTTACCAGCAAATTGGAAATTTTCATCCCCTTTATTCCTTGTTCATTTCTCTCATTTTTCCCTGTTTTATTTTTCTTTCTTTTCTCTGGAGAGTAAGCATCCCTCTTGCCCTCTTTGTGATGACCATGGTCACACCCCCTTTCTCCAAAATGCCAAATTCTAAGCGAGGGTTGTTATTGCACTTAATGACAACTGGCATAGAAATATCCACCAAGGCGGATATATGAGTCCACGAAGTGGCATGCTACATCTCTGGCCCACAACGTTTATTTCCACTGTCTCTCCCAATCTCCCAAATAACCGACACAGCCAGCTTGCCGCCACAGTCCTTGAGACCCAAAGCCCTGGCAGCAACCTTTAAGCTAGCCGTCCGCCCAGACTTGAACCACTTCTGTACCCGGCACAAATGAGACAGGCTGGCGGGCAGTTTTCCAACTCGGCCTGCGATACCGATGCAAAGACCAAACACATCAGTAGAAATTGGTAACTCGCGCTCAGCGCATGTGCACAAACCCATGCCCCATGTGGCAAGATCCCACCAAAGGACCGTCGAGTGAGATCCCACCGAAGGACTGTCGGGTGAGATCCCACCAAAGGACTGTCGGGTGAGATCCCACCAAGGGACTGTCGGGTGAGATCCCACCAAATGACTGTCTGGTGAGATCCCACCAAAGGACTGTCGAGTGAGATCCCACCAAAGGACCGTCCAGTGAGATCCCACCAAAGGACCGTTGGGCGAGACCCCACTAAAGGACCATCGGGCAAGATCCCACCCAAAGGACTGTCGTTGCCATGTTCAAGCAAGCCATCCCTTGTACCCTGGAAGGAGCTGATACTCACAGTGCACTGATCAGTCCCTGTGGTGGCTTGCTGCTCTCGCTGTCCATTCCCAAGATCTGACTCAGTTTTTCCTCTCCTAGACTTTCCCCGTATTTTTTCATGACCTGAGAAATGATCGCAAACAACAGTCCTTGAAACATTTATTAACATACGCAATATTATGAGAAAAAAAACAGATTGAAAACTGAAATATATTGTTTCTTAATTGGGGCTGGCAATTTTCCTAGTCATCCACTGGATGTGACAGTGGTGACTTGTGATGGGATATAAAGCCTACTAAGTGTAGAAATGATGACTCAGACAAAACTCACCTTTCGCTTGACGAACTTGTCCCAGTAGTTGACTGGAAATGATCTGAGGAGGAAAATGACCAATGCTGAGAGTAAATATACCAATACTCCATTCAGTAAAGGACTCACAGTTAAGCAAGGAGTTGACCAAGTACCAAGAATGGGTAGCTTAATTTCTGCAGAGGGAGATTTCAGCAATATCTTCAAATCTTATTGGTGGGCTAGCAGGTGATGAATCCAAGTCAAAAGTAACAGGGGATGTGGACAATAGCGAAGGAATGCCTTCATCACGTTCCACTTGATTGGCTGTTGACTTGATTTGGGACCGTGGACTTCTGCAGAAATTTTCAGGACAGGGGAGGCAAACCATTAATGGGGGGGTGGCTAGTTTTAAAGTCGTTTTCATTCACTTTCCTCATTTTTTCAATTAAATTCTTTTCCTTTTGTTCTTTTTTTAATATTTTTTTTCTTTTTATGGGGGGAGGGAAAAGTTCCCCCTTTCCCCTTTGCACAGATGTTGTTGGGCTGGTACTGTGAATTGGACTCAACAACCACACCTGTACCAGAGTGTTTTCCCCAATGCTACATACCTGGTGCTGATGGCCAGGGAGTCCCATCGCCCCTTGATGTCTCTTGCTGGTTGCTCCTCGATCCATGCTCCTTCAAACTCCAGCTTGCGGGCAATCTCCTTCTCCCTCTTAAAGATGGCCAGAGGAACCTAGCCAAAACAACAGCAAGCATGAAGATCTTTGATACTTCTAACCTGACGGTCCAGAGAAGTAGGCCAACAAACACCTTGGCTTTCTCAAAGTGATTTTTGTTCCAATGACCTGGACAGACCAGCTGAATTAAAGCACGCCCTCTATAGTTGGACAGTTACTTAACATGTGTTTTTGTCAGCCAACTTTGTCTATAGATGCATTTTACAGAAAGTTTGCAGTAAAACAAACCTGAGTTTTGTCAGCTTTCATGTTTGATACACACAAGTTACAGTACATGTAGATGACAGAAGAGTCTTGCCAAAGAAGTAAGTGACAATTCCATTATTATTTTCAGATATGCATTGAAGTTTAGAAAATATAAATCCTGGTTGTTCTTGATTATTGACATGTGACTGAGAACAATGAACATGTTATTTTAAGATGTTTATGCAGCATACATGTACATTTAAGCTGTCTTGTTGGAAATGTAGATGTGTTTTAGAGATATGTGGATTCAGTATAGTATTCTTGGGCTTTCTCCAAGCAAAAGGTTTCTAGAGAGAACGTGAACACTTTTGGAACTTTTGACTGAGATAATTATTTATTTCAAGAGACTTTTCATGCAACCTCAATTTCAGCAGCAATTTGTGTATTTCCACAATTTAAGATTGATCAGTTATTCTAGACAATGAGATCGTTGGATTAGATGCTTGAGATACATGAACCTCTTCAACTTTGCCCAAGGAATTCAGACACAATTTAGATCAGCAGTTGTCACGTATCAGGATTTACATGTAAGGACAGTTTTCAAGCACGGTGGTTGACTTAACAGTTACGCAGTTCTCTGCTTGTCATTTCTGTTAGACTATTAATTTTACTTACTCAAACATGCAAGTTAACTGTAATTTTGTATGTCACGTTCTTTTTTCTTTTAGATCGAATAAACATGAATATATGATAAGCAAGATTTCTTCTGCTGACCCTTTAAGTGGTTGTGCTCTCCGACGGTCCAATTTTAACCGTTGTTGTTTTTTTGGTGACATTATCTTGTTCTACAAATCCACAAACATTTTCATTCTAGAACCTCAAGTGACGCAGATCCCAAAAAGGATAATAAATGACACATGTCCATTTGTGTGTGGAACTGACTTGAAATTTAAAGCCAGACATTTTCACACAAACCATTGGCTCAGATCTGCATCAATGTGCAGTGGGCTTCTGCAGATGCTAAATGAATCAATTTTTAGCATATTTTGTTATTACTGATTAAAACAGGGGCATGCTTTCAATGTCCAAGGAAGATATTGTCTGCTGCCTGGCAAAAGGCTGTAAATAAGCCATTCATTGCACAGTGAATTGTGTGAAAAAAGCCTTCCCGCTGGGGCACATGACAATGTGTAGAAGGCAACTTTGCCAATACTCAATCAATTTATCTGAAATGGCTGTTTCACGATTCAATGTCCCTGCAGTTGAAGTATGACAGTTGAAGTATTAACAGGCTTAACCCTAATTTCAGAGGGTGTTGGACAACTTTTTCACTGAAATTGAGGGACTTTGGTAATATTTAGGTCAGTTACGAAGACAGCCTAGGCTATTTACTGTGCTACTGCTGTGCCGAACTCAAATAATACAATTTTTAAAAGTTCGGTGCATCAATAGCAAGGCTCGGCAAATTGAATTCAGCCCGGCAAGCCCTTAGCTTGACAGGGTATGCCGCGATATTGTCATTCCAAATGGAAGTGGCACTACACTGCTCTATTTAAGTTCAGCGTTTAGCACAACTGCCGCACCATTGCCCTGCCACTGCCGCACAGTATCTAGTCTTGGCCTTAGGGACAGGACTCAGACAAATGCTCTGCCAAAGCTTTAATACCTTGAGAGCACAGTAGGCAATCATCATTGAGACGGAGACCAGGGTGTGGACAATGCAGAGCAGCTGTAGAATTGGTTCCAGGTACGTCACCCCGTCGTGCAGGATGATGACCTCCTCTGTGTCTGACTCGGGCTCTTCGTCGGGGGTTGACGGCACTCCGTTGTCTGCGATGGTGGAGTTGATTTCGTGGAAGGGGTTGTCCTCACTTGGAGCTGGGGTGGTGTCTGCGAGATACACGGTCACCTGAAAACGCACAGTGTGCGTGTGTTGAATTGAAAATATGGAAGCTGGGTAGGACTGTGGCTCATGAACAAAACTGAAAATATTTGATCGATTACTGGATAGCCAGATACTATAATAATATTTTTGCTTCCAATTACAAACTAATCCTAAATTATTGTAATGATTAAAATGTGCTATTTGTGTATCAATAAAATTGCTTCTTTAGAGGCTTGGCTGACAGAAAATTTGCCCTATAACCAAATATTCAATACTGAATCAAATTACAAGTAAAATATTTGAATAATTAATTATTATTCAAACTGGCTCAGCTGTGCAATGCCAAATACACTTTTTCAACATTGATATAATTGTGGACATGCGAGTATTTCTTACCCGGAAGAACAGTAGACATAAGTTAATGATGAAGGCCAAGATGAGAGCAAGATACTTGATGTTGTAGAAATTACGTGCAAAGAAACTCTGGCGGAAAGAACAGACCATGAAGAGTAAAATAAAACGTCAACAGAAGAAAAACATTGTCTGGGCAATAGTGTAGTGACATTACACACAAAAATTACAGATACAATTCTATACTTCAGGTCTGACATTTTAGGGTCTTAAATGATGAAATTAAGCCTGGTTTCCATATGGTCACAATGAATGCCTATGGCTTGCAAGATGTCAAGATGCAGACAGTCACAGAAGAGACACTGCAAGATATCATTCCAACAAAAACAACATCGCATCTGTTACTCAGAAAGTTCTGCCCAAAATGCCCTTTTAAAATGGCAATACCACCACTTGATGCCACTTGATACTCCAGTTCGATGTAATAAGTTTTAATCAGCTGTTTTGTTGACAATCGTTTGAAGCCTCTTGTGCCAGCATGCGTATTTGTATAGGCCTTCTCAAGGCAACTCAACGCAAAATCAGCAAATTTAAGCCGGATCCAACTTTTCCAACTGTCAGTATTGACGTTTACGTTAGTCAGGATAAAGCGTTTCCATATCACTGTGTATCGTCAGGGACTGATAAACCATGTTCTTTACGTCTCTCTACGTCAATTTGGAAACCAGGCTATGGCCCGTCATTTTCTACAATGCCTTGATTGACTGCATATGATGTGCAAAAACAACTTCTGCTGGTTGGGTCGTTCCTTTGTTTGCTTGAAACCAATTTCACAAATTATTCTGCTTGAAATAATGAAAATCAACACACTGATCTATGACCTGTTATGTGACCTTTGACCTACCAGGAAGGTCTGCTTGACGCGGTCCATGTTGGGCTCACAAAATTCCTCTTCCTCCTGCTCATCTTTCTGCAGACCTAGTTCCTGAGCCAGAAACAAACTGAAAAACACAAGGAAAGTTCATTAAAGTGGAAGACTTCATTAAACACCAGAGAACCGTACACGAACCAAACCGTTCTCTCTCGTGGAAGTGGCAATGATAATAGAGTGTAATTGTTAAATGTGAATTTCAAACACTGATCACTGCATAGAAAAATGCCGATCCTTTGTGCCATTTAATTTCAAAAAAAGAGTCTAATTAACTTAACAAGCTGAAACATGTTCATATGAGGCCTTAACCTTTCTTAAATGAACTGTCATATATATATATATATATATAAAGGAGAAATTTGTTTGTATTTTTGAATAGGCCTATTCCCAAACACTGATATGTGAACTGCACCTAATGGCATACAGCAGGTTGACAGTTTTGTTTAATAGGGGAAAAACAAAGGTAATTAACACTAGACAAGTGCAAAGAAGTTAATGGCCTAGTTTAACCAGCAGTAGGTTCATCCAACCTATGAAACTTTAAATGGCCACTCTATTTAACAGATGAAAAGCTAAAATGCACTCAAGAATTGTTTTTACCTTGGGAAGACAGTGCTTTCTCTTCTATCCATTATGTTACGCGACTGGTTGGCTGAACCATTCTAAACGAAAAGCAAAGAACCTTCCTTGTATTTATAGTGAGCTTGTTTTAGGCTATGCCTGTAACTATGCCCTTGGAGGCAAGATGTAACATAATAATGTTCTTGGAAGAAGCTTGAGTGCCACTGCTGGAGGGTGCCCGCCTACAGATATGTTTCTTTAATGTAAACAACCCAAATTTGTGCCTATTCTGTTGATAATCAAGCACCCGTACTTAGCACCCCATACATGGCGGGAACCGGTGTATGCGAATGATGTGTCCTTCCCTGGTTTCTGTGAGTAAGGCGAGTTGTGCCGCCCAGAGTTTTGCATACAGTCCAATGTAGCTACAGAAAAATTGAATCAATGACAGCCAAACATGGAAGAGTAAAATGATTGCGGTTGCACCATGATTGCAACCGCAACCATTTTACTCTTCTAGTTTCTTTCACCATGAAAACCTTCAAGTCTTAACAGCCAAACATGTTCCAGAAAACCAGAAGAAAGGTTGTTTGTGATTTTTTATGCATTCCACATTAAAGAAATGATTTTCATGACACAACACAATTGAAATTTTAAACAGATGCTTATCTACAAACCATTGCCCTTTTCAAGAAAACTAAAAATTCCAGGCAACACTTTTCTAATGACACGGGTTTTAATGTGGATATCACAGCAACCAGGGTAGTCTTACGATCATTGCGGCGATTGTTGCCTCGGGTGTGTCGGCTCCCGGTGTCGAGGGTGGTGCCAGCGGCCCTTCCTTGCCCTCACGGTCAAAGTCAAAGCTGGAGGAAGGCGTGAGCTGGCGGCGTTTACGCCGCATCCTCATCTGGCACGCGCTGCTCTCACTTGAGTCTGATGACTTTCGATCCTTGAAGAAGTCGATGCCGAACGCTGAGACGGTGGGCCCACTACAGATCAAAATTCATGCAGATGATAGGCAAATGAAAAATAAAAAACAAAACAATGTCTTTACAAACATAAATGCAATGCCTAGCCCATGACTATAATTTGTGATCGAAAAAAATTGTCTCCATTGGGAAAAACCATTTCTTCTGTCATCTGACAAAATGACTTTAATTTTTGACAAGAAAGTCCAAATGACTTATACATGTAGTTTTGATCTAACAAGAGACATTTGTGCTATACATGAAATGTATTCACACTGAAAGTTAAGAAGTGTCTCACAATCCTCTGTAGCAATTTCTTTGCGAAAAAAAGCTTAATGTGGCTTGTGGGGCAACCAGTGATGAACGTGTACAAGTGAATAGACCAAAATAATTGCTAGTTATAAGCTTCATTTGTAAAGACGAGGAATAAGAACAAAGTCAATATTCCCACGATTGATTCGGGGCAGAGTAATTAATGCTCTTGTTGACATGGTTTATTGAAAATGATGTCTGGAGGGAACTTGGTTAATAATTTATGATGGCATGAATGTATCGTGATTGGGATCACTGATAAATGTTTTGAAACCAGTTTCAGAAAATGAAATGGCAATGGTACAAGTGAACTGACAACATCCCAGAACAGATAAAAATTGTACACACGATTTTAGAGAAAAGAGACATAAATATAGACTGGTGCTGTAATGATTTTGCCTCTCCTGTGTGAGTGTGATAGGAACCATGCAGGAAAATAAACGAAGTATAACACATGTCCTGTTTTCAAGGTGTTGAGAGTGATGAAACTTCATCTTTGACTCTGTGCCCTCCGGTTGTGGATTTTCTGCCAACAAAGTATCTGCTTATTGATACCCAGCATGCTTTGGGTCATATCCTAGCAACCAAGTGATTGATATCGCATAATCACCTCCTGGCGGCCGGTAACCCGTAGTTCTGCATGGTATGCAATCCCGAGGCCTGCTGCCTGGCTATGTTGGGTACCTTGAGTGTTTCCTTCAGGGTACCGGTGATTTCCCGTGCATCTTCCAGGATGCGGTTACCCAGCAGGATGCCGATAAGTTTGCTGTTGGTGGGACGGTGAGAGGCCGAAATGAAGGACAGACAATGAATGGATATCCCCAAATATCCTATAGTGAGCTACTTGGACATTTTAAAGGGCCAAAGTCATTTGAGAACAGAGCAAAGGTGTGAGTTGGTGTATGACAACGCTGATAGGGTTAGCCCTTGCACACATATTGCTGTTCCCAAATGACTTTGGACATACTTCACTTTGAGCATGCGCTGTTGGAATACCCAATTAGCTTGTTAAACAGTCTTGCCAAACAGTCACCGCTTTTTTCTGCTCTGTGTATTTGCTTAGAGTGACTAGCATTTTCTTGTAAAGTTAATTTTCAACTTTTTAACAACTAAAAATCCACTTTGCTTTTATTTTAACAAGGAAGAATCCCATCTGAACTTGGTCAAATTGCAATTCCACTTCCAAAAGGACAAATTCCACAAACCTTTGAGATCAATGAATTTCGACAATAATTGAAATGTGAAAAAGAACTGGGCGCACTACTGTTCCACCAAAAATGACCTTTTAGATTAGTTTGTGCTGTGGCGGTAGTGATCAACACCGGCTGGAGGGTTCTAAGCATGAAGTTGAAAGTAAGAGTCTAAATGCGAGACCTGATGAAGAATGGGCCAACGTGATAAATGCATTTGGAAATCTGAACACATAAAATGTATGCAAGGAGTGAAATGTTGAGAAATTGATTCCGTTTGGAAAATAATGTTGACACATCCGTGACTGTATCGTTCTTCATGTAATCCACAAAATATGGCAAGACATGCACCACTTCAATGAAGTGTGTAAGCCTTGTGCAACTTCAACCAATGCCGTTCCATGCTACTACCATAATGCTGCATGTATTTTTAGCACACTATAGAGGTTTTTTTTTTACGTGACGTAACATTATGGGCAAAGGCATTTCAGGAAGCGTACCATGTCCGTGGAGGCGCATGGATTTGTGTAATTCTATTGGCAGTTTCATGTGACCCGGAATGTTGAGAGACTTTGTGGCATGGCATGTGCGTTTCCTCGTACATCCGTGTAAATTGAACGCTGACCATCAAATATGTGACTGAAAATTTTCAATATAAAACATTATGTTCATGACATCACTGTGTCCATAATGCAAGAAATTTGCTGAACTGTTCTGTGCACAAATATGGACTTGTCTACAAGGAATAACGCAAGATTGTGCGTGAGCACACTTATGCTACGGCTAAAAATTATGGCTGCAGCTGGGAATGGCATGCATGCCTGTGAAAGCCACTGGCTTATGACTGAAACAACCTCCCACAGAGAAGAGTGTGACTCCCAGCCACAGCCGGTTAATCTAGACATGGACTAAGAAAGGGCCATGCCATTGGCCCTTTCCTCTCAGAGCTCCTATTCTAGAACGCCCCTGGTCAAAGAGGAAGAACAATCGCCGCTGGCCCACCTGATGAGGAAGAACACGAAGGCACACATCTTCTTGGACAGAAAGAAGAATATCTTGATGAGGCCCCACAAGATGGAGAAGATGGAGACAGAGCGCAGCTTCTTGGGGCTGTAATCCTCAAAGAGGTCATTCACTGACTTCCGGATGCTGGACGGACGCAGGGAACGGAAGAACCACATCAGCCATGCCCTGGAGAGAAGGTCACATGTTAAAGTTGGCCTTGTTCACGAGTTGGCCAACTTGAATCGAAAGCAAGGCAATCCCGGTGAAAACTTTCTAAAATGTACCATGTGTGGGAATGAAGATGATACAATAGGGACAATTATACGTTACCGTCGTTTCGCTCCAAAGGACAGTTCCAAATTATGGATATAAAGTCATGTTGCTTTTATTGTCCACATGAAAAACATTTTCACACAGAGGCTATATTGTAATATCTAGTAAAATAGCCAGGCTCGATCAGATTGCAGGACGTTTTATAAAGTAAATTAATAAAGTGGTTTCAGGAGAGCAGGATCCAAAGTAGCCATCTTGTAAATAAAGCCCATTCCACAGTTTCAAGTAGAGAGTAAAATATTGAAACAGTCTACAGGGAAGGGTTAACATTTGGCCCCTCAGAATATGCTAAATGCCACAACACTACCACTTAATGTTAGGTCTAGACTGCTTTTTCCTTTAAAACTCCTAAAATTATCTTTTTTTTGACGGTAGCCCTTCCAGCAAAACAAAGAGAACAAAGAAACAGGTACTGTAAAGCCACAGAATACACAATTAAAAACACAATGAAAATTGTAAAATGTATCCCCCCATCTGCACACCACAGTCCGCTTTTGAGAAATATATGGGCCACACAGTATCAATCATGCAGAACCTGAAACATTCCATCTGTCCCCGGGTCAAGATCCTTGGAAATGAAATAGGACATACATATGGTTCACAGTTCAAAAACTCCTGGAGCTGAGAGTAAATGAAGGCAGGCCGAGGAACGGTTTCAAAATATTGCTGGAAGACTGTTACAGAAAGATGTGCACTTTAGGACTATAACTGGTCTAAAAAAGGTCACAATGAAGTTTTCCAGACCAGGCAGCATGTGAATGTTGAAGCGGAGACTAGAAATCTGACGACTTACTGCGAGTCTCTTCCCCCGAAGGCAATGAGACTGACTATGCTCTCCAGCATGCCTTCTGTGGTGTTACTCATACTGGCTGCATGCTGCATCTGTGGACAGAAAACAAAACTGGACCTCAGTTTTTACTGGACACAAACTTTTCCATTGATACTCATTTCCCATTTCAAGGCTAGATTCACTGAACCAGCTCGGCCAAAATGTTGACTTGGCTTTGTGTAATGATCTCACTAACGGGGGTAAAGTAACCCTTCATTTCTGCATTTTGAAAGAAAATGTACATACAGAGGATTCAGTGGTGGTTTTTAATCAATCAACAAAGGCTTTAACCTCTTGCTGCCGAGGAACCCCATTTCGAGCACCATGGTTTTATACGCAGAGCCCAGGTACCCGAAATGAGACAAAAGAGCTAGTCCGTGTAACAAAAGACCCTACTCGGAACAAAAGACCTGTTGCTGGGAATTGCCATCATTTTTCGGCTTGCATCTTTTAATAATAATAATAAGGAACATTTATATTGCACAGATACTATGCAAATTTACTCAACTGCACATAACAATACCCATCACTAGCAGAAATAAAAATCAGGTGTTGGAAAAAGCTTCATGAAAGAGATGAGTTTTTAGAACAGTCTTGAATGTGTCGACAGATTTAGCATTTCTTACATGAAAGGGCAGGTTCCAAAGCCTAGGAGCAGCACAAATACATGTGTATGCACGGTCTCCAAAAGCTGCCTTAGTTCTACGATAGGGATGACTAAGGATCAACCTGTCCTGTGAGCTACAAAGACTGTACACATGTGACTGGGATTTAGGTGTTAGTAATTCTGAGATATAACATGGTGTAAAGTCATGCAAAGCCTTAAATGTTATTTTTTGAAAGTAATCCGTCACTGTTTTTAAACAGTATACCACTGTTTTCGGCATAGAGCGCCTATGGATTAGCACCGCCGACAAAAGTGCTCCAGGGCCCAACTGATGAGTGACACAGCACTGCTGCATGCTAATCCAGCTGCGTTCGAAAAGATGCCACTCACATTCACTCACAAAGGAAATTACGCAACACATCACAATTCTGGGCTCTCTTTACAGGGCGGCAGGCCTGGCTGAAATATTGAGGAGTCAATGACGGTTACCTGTCAGCTTAGAGTAGCCACCACATAGTCATTCGTGTGGGTGTAAATGTCCATTAAATGAAATGATGAATTTTTGAAGAATTTTGAAAACTGAAATCTTGAAAATCTCCTGTGTGCACTGCATTTTTTAAAGCACGCGGCAGCATGTGGTTAATGAAAAATGTTACAATGTTGCTGCATTTGCTATCTTTCGCTACAGTTGCATTTCGTTATTACTGCACAAAATGGTCACATTTCACATTCCTCTCTGCATGTAATGTGACTCCTTGAGCCTTAGTACGGTATCAATTTTTTTAAAAATAGAGAAACTCGGTAAAGCTGAATCCTGACACTGGTCTGAAATTGAAATCTGTACAAACTGTCAAAAACCCCATTGGCATAAGTCCAGTGTAATAGTGTCACATCCAATCCTGTCAAGGATTTGGGTTAGTGTAGTAGTTCTTTCCTTGCCCTCCACCTCCATGGCCCCAGTTCGATTCCCGGTTCAGTCCACATGTGGATTGGGTTTCCAGTCCCTACATTATTACTACCTCAAAGATGGTGTCCTCGCAGAAGTTAACAAAGTCCTGAAGTTTTTCCTTCTCGCCTCCTTCATTGACAAGCTCATGGAGGAAGGCATGCTTGGATTCCTATAAGAATCATAAAAAACATACACCTTGACACCAAGAACTCAGACATACACGCAGTACCACACAACACACATTATTTGCTTCTACAAGAGCTCCAGTCCCTTCATCAAATAAATGAATTTCAGGCAAGGGCCGAGACCAGTCTAGAGGTCAAAGGTCTTACCTAGAATGGTGATCTTGTCAGTTTATCATCACCGTTAAAATCCTACCACATACCAGGGAAGTAACCGGCAACTGACATTCAGGCTATGATTATGCATATTGTGACTCCAATTGGACATAACAAGCAGCTATATCGAAGTCACTAGCTTGTGGCTGCAGCTACTTCCCATAGATGAATGTATTATTCACAGCCACAGTCAGTTAATGTAGACACTGCATCACAGTGGTGTTTCGCCTTGGCACTATTCAGATACATCAGGTTAATGAAGTCTAGGATACAGACTATTAGATCAACTCAGTAACGTTAAAATTTTTTGTCTGTGAATCTGAAATTGTTCTCAAATGCAAATCTTAATCACGTATCACAGAAAATGCCTTGTGCTGCTGGTGTCAGAAATTTGGTTATCCCTGAAAGTATTTGGTTTTAAGACCTTCCCTCTTTTGATGGTTTTTATGGGAGGATTCCCGGACATATTCCTGCACTGATGGCATACCTTGATCTGTGGCTTCTCCCATTGAGCCTTGTGTGACTCTTTGATCTCAAAATACACACGCTCAATGCGCTTGCTGCTGCCTGCAATTACAATTGGACAGATATTCATTGAAAAAAAGGTTGAACATCACACAAGTAAGATATACACACAGCAGCATGTAGAGATGGCAGCAAACATGCTTGTCAAGGAGAGAACCGCAACAGCGATACGTGTACATGCAAAGAAAGACTTCGGCGGCTTCAACCTGAACCATCTGGTGTTCACTGATCCAATCAGACAGACTGACAAAGCTGTAGACTAACTAACTGCATGAAGAAGCCCTCTACCTAGCAGTAGAAATTGGTCCTGATTACAGATTGCACCTGAGATAGAACACCAATATCCAACGGACCAACAGACAAACAAAAACGGTGTAGCAACGACAACTGGAAAATCGCATGTGAACACCTAAACATACCAATGAAGACAAGACAGTCGTAAATTCCAAATAATGCCTTACCCATGATCTCAATCCGGCCGAGGTAAGGTTCAAAGTTATTCAGTAAGCTCTCTGCAAGCTGTTTGAATCTCTCAAGCCTAAAAGTGATAAAAAATAAGTTGATATAATAAATAATTAATACACAAATTTAAATGACAAGAAACATGATGAAAAATGGGAAAGTGAATCTAACAGGAAAAACTAATGTTCATCAAATTTCCATTATTTTCCTCTTCAGTGCTAACATCTGCAAAGTTGAAGGGAAGTTGAGAAGTACCACATCCTCAAGATTCAATTGCTTATCACTCAAAAATAACCCAGTCTCAAGTTATGTACAATTCAAATAAAATGGGATGAAGTAAGATGAGCTGTGACCTAGAATGATTTTCAGCTGTAGTTGATTGGACAACACAACTCTTGAAGTGAAGTCTACAGCATCTCAAGGCAATCTCGACCATTTGACAAAACTTCACGAGTACACAAAATTGATAATACAAAAGATTCTGTACTTGCTTAAAATCAGAATTAATGTTGTGGATGTTAAGGTCTCACCTGACATCGTTTGGCATGTGGTCAGCTAGATTTGTCAACAACACTGTCAAGTTGAAACCTGTAAACCGACAAAATGTCCAAAGTCTAAATTTCCAACTTAATCATGGGCAAATTAGGTAGGAAAAGTGTCATCTCAACTTCCACTGCTGTGGCACAGGTTCACATTCCAACCAGGCCAACATTTGGCCAAGTTCAGTTCTTTCAGTTCCTACTTGATCCTTGCATTTTACTCATTTTCTGAATCTGACTGGGCAGCTACGGACCTACAAATGCTTCTGAGAAAGCACTGCACTTATGACCAAAATATATAATGACCAGATAATCAGGTCATTCTGACCAAACCATGCACATCTTGTCAGGTGACCGACTCAGATCTGGGGTGAAAAAATTTGCCCCAAAAGGGAAGGAGTTGGGAATTAAGGAGAATGGGCAACGGCATCCAAGATCATATTTTTCCAAGAGACCAAACCGTAGACATGATTTCTGGCTGGATGTTCCAGTCTGTAGTGCATCCATAAGATGCACAGGCAGGGTCATTTTTAAATGCTTTCATCCAAGTGAGATTGACTCATTAGACTACTTTTCATTGATTTGACAGAACGACCCAGTACGGCATAGTGCATTGCCCACTTACCAATGTCTTGGGCGGGACCATGGAAGCGGTCAGTGAACTCATTCAAGTCAATGCGTCCATCATTGTTGCGATCGGCACACTTCAACAGGTAGTCTATCTCTTCACTGAGGGGGGAAAGAGTTCCATCACTCTGTTAGTTTACTAGTAGTGATATAAAGAACACAAATGTGACCAGTTTCCAAAAACGCAGCGAAAAGAAGTTTTGAAAATTATTCACTGAAGAAGAAAATTAGCTGTTTCTCTGTGCATGTGAACATCACTTTCAGCAAACATTTACTGTAAATCTTTGAAATGTTTAGAAAATCTAGGTGCTGAACAATTCTGTCAATGTTTGCAAGAATTCAAAAATCAAAGCCCACTTAAAGTCCCAAAATGCTCATACAGTGTCAAATTTCATAAGCACAAAGCCGGCACAACATGTAAGTGTGCTCTTTAAAAATCTTGAACAGATCTGAAAATTGTATTGTGGTCTGCAGTGTATAACACCCATCCTCACTATATCCTAACTCTACATTTAATCTTGATCTACATGTATCTTGTCAACCGACTCCCCTATCCAGAAGGAACACAAGTCCCTTTTCGTGATGCTTTGAGCTAATTACTCACCATGTGTATATCTTCTGGGACTCCATTGCAACCCTGAACTCCTTCGGCGAGATCCAACCATCGTTATTTGTGTCATACTCCTGCATGAAGGAAGGCAAGAGCGAAGGAAGGTTATTTTGATATTTTAAAATCCAGATCTTAATGCCACAGCACACACTACAATTGACAAATAGTGCATATAAGCAAATGTTCTGAAGTGTAGAGCCTGTCAAGTGCATTGAAAATCTGAAAGAGTTATTTTGCAATGTGATTGGAACTACAGGATTGAAGCTTGTATGAGACCCGATCCCACAAAATGTGTCTTCAGGCTATTTTTTGGAGTAATTATGTTTTACTTTTGCATATAAAAGAGTAAACCAAGCTTTTTAATTGGATGCATCATTTAGTCTAGCATCCTGACGAAAATAGACATAATGTGGTTGAGAAAAATAAGTTCTGATCAGTTTCCACTGTGCTAGATTCTAAAGGCCCATAACGGGAAAATGGCTACGGCAACCTGTGACTCATTTTATTAGGTTGGGTCACAAAACTGCTCACAGACATTTAGTTTGAGGTACTTTTTTTCGCAACCACTCCCTTCATTATAATATCAACCTATCCTTCCTACTGTACATCCTTCCACATCCATTAAAAGCATTGGAGGATTTGCACAATGGTACATTACTTCCCCGCCAATAACAATTTTGTGCGAGTCCCACCTGAGTAAGCTTGTGCATTTTTTTTGCAAGCTCTTGGACAAACTCTGAGCGTCCAGTGTCATATCCGTTCGTGTAGGGGCAGAAAAAAACGTTATTGAATTATTAACTTTGCACAAGGTTTGAAGTACAACAATTTTGCCACTGGTTGCCCACACTGAGGAGCAAGATTGGAAGACTCAGGTAATTTCCTGGCTAATAAAAGTCTGCTGAATAAAGACTATCATGGAAAAGGAAAACTTTCCGTACCATGAAAGCCTCGCAGGAGGCCAGATCCTTCAACTTCAGGAACATGTCGAAGAACTTCAAGATTATCTATGAAATACAAAAAAAGATGCAGAGTCATTTCATATTTAACCA